CCATCCTTCCATCTATCCATCCTTTCATCTTCCTGTCCATTCATCCAATCTACCCATCCATCCATCCATCCATCCATCCTTCCATCTATCCATCCAGTCATCTTCCTGTCCATTCATCCATCTACCTACCCATCCATCTAACCATCAATTCATCCACCCATCCATCCACCCATTCATCTACCTGTCCATCCATCATCTTCTTGTCCATTCATCCAATCTACCCATTCATCCATCCATCAATTCATCTACCCACCCATCCATCCACTCGTCCTCCTATCTATCCATTCACCCATCCATCTATCTATTCATTCTTCCATTCACCCATTCATCCATCCAACAAGTCATCCATTCCTTATTTTCCTTCCTTCATTCATCCATGTATCTTTTTTTCCTTCATTCATCTATCCATTCATCCATTCTTTCATGGATGACTTAGGTCCCTAGGCCCCTTATACCTCCTCCTTCCCAGTCCTAACCCATATTCCAGGGCTTAGCTGAGATTGTGTGGCCAAGAACATGAACTGTGTTCTCCCACCTTTCACTGGAGAAGCCTTTGGGCTTTGCGGGTCCCAGGTCTACCCTGACCACTGAATTGCAGTCAGGTGCTAGCTTATGAGGTCTAAAGAGTGAATTACACCCCTGCCCAGGCTCTGTGTATCTAATATAGAGTCCTAAGGGATGAATCCCCAAAGACCCCAAGTCCACTCTGTCCCAGGAAAACAGAGGGGAACTTACTTTGGGATGGGCAGTGTCCCTCCATCCCACATGTCAGGAACAGGCCTTAATAAGGGAGACTTGTCCCCTAGACATTCTGCTGCCCCAAACCCTGAAGGCAGCTCTCACATGTGGCAGTCAATGGATGCCTCCCAGAGCACCCTCCTTGCCTCCTACTAACCCCAACAACCCTCCCCAATCACCACCCCCTGCAGACAGCCAGGACTCCTACACAGTGGACACAACTGCTCAGCCACTGGTTCTATGTGTGGTGCAGCCTCGCCAGCAGGAGCGTCCCATGAGCCATGCAAGGCATTATGGAATGTTCCAGTAAGCACGTTGTCAGCACGATACATCTATGCAGAGTATCCATCCATATGCGGGCTCGGGTGAGAGCTGCTCTTCTGCCAATGGTCTGCACTGGTCAGCACCCAAGGGTGTGGAAAACACCAAACATGTTGGAAATCCTGCACTTTACCTTCTATTTAATACAAGCTGGGTTTCCATCTCAGCCTCAGGATAATCCAGACAGGTAAGGGTGTGGAGCTGAGAAGCCACCATAGCAAACTCGGACCCCAGTTCCTGTGGCCCACTCCTCCCACGGGTGCTCTAACAACAGCCCCGGAGTTAGCAGGTCACTCACTGGCCCCGCAGTCTCTCCGATTGCATTTACCTCGTGTTGTGTGGTACACTGTTTGGGGGTGTGTGGCATGGGGCCCGATGTCAACTCATGTGGTAGCTGCAACTCTTATGAAGTCCCTAAGACAATCCTGAGAGGACATTCGCAAAGCCTGGAGGTGACCACTGCCCTTGGCCCTTGACTCAGGGAAGCTGGTGAGTCACTTGACAAACCCAGCACTGTTGGAGGAATAGCTGAGGAAGGAGCAGAAATCAGCCCAGGGACCCCTCTTCTCACAGATGCTGTCCTCAGTGTCAGCATGGACAGGGGACTGGAGTGGTGGCAGGCTGGGGGCCCGTTGATCTTCTGGCCCTATTCTGTCCCAAGTAGAGTGTTAGTTACCCATTGGAGACCTAGCTGAGCCTACTTGAGCTTTTCCCAGTCCCTGGTCAGCCAGGACACAGCCCAGCCCAGCCTGGCCTCCCCGTCCTGACTCAGGTGATACATGAGCCTCCCAGTTGCCAAATTGAGCTACATGGTCTAGCTTGCTGACCTTGTAAGATCCAGCTCCAGTCCCACCCTGAAGAATTCTTCTAACACAGCCACTAGAGGGTCTGGGGAAGGACCCACCCTGGAACACATTCAGTTCTTTGGGAGCAGCCCTTATGGAGTTCTGGTGTGGCGCAGTAGGATACGCACTCTACCACAGGTCGGTGGTTCAAACTCACCAATTGCTCCTCTGAAACCCTATACAGGGTTGCCATGTGTCAGAGCTGACTGGATGACACTTAACAGCAATAGCTGAGTACGAAAGGAAGACTCATGGGGACCAGGGTTAGGACTCCAACATTTTGAGGGTGTACAACTCAACCCATCTCAGTCTTTAACCTTTGTAAGAAAATGCACGAGGTTTCAGACAGTCTTCAGAAGCTATTTAAGGGACTGGCCTGAGGACCTCACAAGTCATTCCCCCCACAGCAAAACCCTGAAGCTGTGCTGACTCCCCTCATGCACTGGGCCCCCCCAGTGAGACCCCACAGACCATTGAATCCCCTGCAACCTTGCTGAGTAGTTTTCATGCACTGAGCCCCCAGCAGGACCCTAGAGACCACTCAGCCCCCTGAAGCCATATGCAGCCCCCTACAGTGCACTGAGCCCCCTGAAGCCATGTACAGTAAGTACACTGAGCCCCTGGAAGCTGTGTGCAGGTCCCAGGGTGTTCAGCCCCTGCAGTGCCCTGAGCCGCCCTTCTGTGTCCAGGTGCAGTGGTCATTGCCTTTGTCGTATGCTGGCTGCCCTACCACGTACGCCGTCTCCTGTTTTGCTACGTGTCAGAGGAGCAGTGGACCCCGTGAGTACTGGACAGCTGCCATCAGAGAGCAGGAGGTGACGGGGGGGCTGCTGAGTGACCAAGTCAGGGCCAGGGAGGTTGCTGGGTGGGGGTCCCATGTGACAGAGTCCAGAGCAGAGACTGCAGCCCCGAGGGAACAGTCAGCAGGAGACACCACCAGGAAGGTGCTGACCCAGCCATGGGAGAGCTTTCTGGAGCAGAAGACAAAAAACTCAGCCCTAAGAGCTTGATGGCTCAAAGTCGAATTGCACAGTCACATGGTGGGCTGCATGTTGAAATTTTAATGCCAAGATTGGCGACTTAACCCCACCAGTTGCCCCAAGGGAGACAGATGGAACCAGAGCTCCTACGTGAGTCCATTCTGCCTCATAGAGACCCTATCTAGGGTTTCCAAGGAGCAGCTGGTGAGCTTGAACTGCTGACCTTGTGGTTTTCAAACCGACCTTGTAGTCTGGTGCATTGCCCCACAGCACTACCCCAGGACTCTCCTGTGAAGAGTTGTTTGTTGTTAATTGCTGTTGAGTTGATTCTGACCCATAGCAACCCTGTATAGGGTTTCCGAGGAGCAGCTGGTGAGCTTGAACCTCTGACCTTGCAATTCAAATGGCTTTGCAGTCTGGTGCATTAACCCACAGCGCCACACCAGGATTCCAATAGTAATGTCTGAATTGCCCATACTACCAATCCAACACACTGAGAAGACATGCACGTTCCTCAATCTGAAGAGACTTTCATTCTGATTGGAAATTTTAGGAACTGCATCCAAAAGTTCAGTCCATCAAATTGTAATAGCTGATGCTTGCTCAGAGTATTAAACATCTTCATAGTCATCTGGTCAGATCTAGTCAGCTCAACAACCCTAGCCATCCAAGCTAGGTCAAATGAGTGCCAGCTGCAAGCTTGGGAGTTCACACATACCTCCCTGAACTCCAAAACAATCAGCTTTCCCTCTTAGGTCATTTCAAGGTCAGTGATGCATCGGCAAGCATATTGCCGGCTGGTTCCCTTCAACTTTCGGTCCTAGAATGGGGTTTTCTTTGATGGGCCAACTTTCCTTGCCTCTGAAACTCAAAATGCCAAAGTGTCTGACCTTTTTTTTAAAACTCACAAATCTTCAACAGTTCTGGGTGGGTGTGCATATCTTTTCAAATGCAAATGTCTCAACTCAAGTTCTGGCTCAAGATTCCACTTTAAAGTTCTAATGAATCCAATCAAGTATAGGTCGAAGGCCAGCTTACAAAACTTTCCATAATCATAATTCTCATTATTCCTATTACACATTTTACAATATTTTAATAATAAGAAAGAGAAGCTAATATCCATAGGCAATCAAACACATTAACCTTTTTAAAACACTTAAGTTCCCTCCACCCTGGATTAAGGAGCTCTGGGAGCGTAGTGGTTACTAACCTCAGGGTCCACAGTTTGAAACTACCAGCTGTTCCACGGGATAAAGATGAGACTTTCTGCTCCCATAAGGATTTACAGCCTTGGAACTCCTGTGCCGGGTTGCTAAGGGTCGGAACCGACTCCACCACGGCACATAACAACAACAACAACCCTGGACTAGCCCCATTGACATGCACATGGCCTTGGGCCTCCAGCAGGGTGGATTCCAGAAGGACATTGCCATAGATCTTTTCTGTCCAGCTCCTGGCAACTGCAGAAGCTGCTCTCCATTCAGCTGAAACATTTTATCCCTTTGTTCTTCCTCCTTTGTTTTTCCTCCCACAAAACCTCACACTGTCTTACATCTGGAGCCATTGCAATAAATCCCACTCACAGTGCCAGATGCTGAAACCAAGTAGGGACCAAATCTGATTTCCTCTGAATCTGTACTAGCCCTCAAACTCAGAGCATGACAGAACATCTAATATCTGTTTAAATCCCAACTACTAATATGAGAAAAGTGAGGGTTGAGGCAGCTATATTTTTCCACTTTCTAAACCGCCGACATATTGTCAGGAGGGACCAGTCGCTTGAGAAGGATATCATGTTTGGTAAGGTGGAGGGTCCGAGAAAAAAACCCAACGAGATGGATTGACCAAGTGGCAGCATCGATGGACTCAAGCATGGCAATAGTAGTGAGGTTGGCCCAGGATCGGGCAGTGTTTTGTTCTGCTGTGCATAAGGTCGCTATGGGTCGGTATCGACTCGATGGCACCTAACAACCACAACAACAAACCACCCCTGTAACCAGTCAGTTAACCCCAGCGTTCTCAGCCCTTTCATTAGCTGTGAGGCTGAATTCTGGCAGCACCTTTGTGATAGTTCCATTAAGGGGCTGTGTTGTTAGGGATGCCACACTCAGCTCCCAACATTACACATACACCTTCATTTTCGTCTGGCATCAGGTCTGTGCTATTGTTTTCCTAAGTCATCTGGCTAGTGGCATAACTGGCTAGCTCCCCCTTGTAGGGCACCTCTGGTGTCGTTTATGAACCTATGAATCAAGAGCTCCAGGGAGAGATCTCCGGGCTCAAGATTTCTCATGTTGATCAGGTTTCTTGTGGAACACTAGGGTGAAGGGATTTGCCCCTGGACCAACGCTCATGTCCTGGTCCAATTGGATCCAGCAAATCTCGGCCATTCCCTTTTCACAATACTCTGAGGGCCAAATAGGACACTGCTAGGTTCACCAATGGCAGTTTTGCAACGTGGGTACAAGTTGTCAATTCTCCTACGGGCGCTGTGAACTCTGAAGAGTTGTTGTTGGTAAGTGTTTAGGAAATCCTATGGCGTGGTCCCACCCCGTCCTACTGGGCCACTGGGAGTCTGAATCCAATCCACAGTAGTGGATATGGAACAGAGACGTGAAGAGATCGCCCCCTAGGGGAGGGTACAAGAAGGTGCGAACTTTCGCACACTGGCAGGGTCTCTGTGGCCCTTACAGCTCTGACTCACTACACCCAGGTCACGCAGCGCGATCCATGAAGGGGAGACCAGGCATGAGCTTCTAGGGTCCTGCTGTCCCCATGGAGTCCCATAAGACATGCCTAACTCCCCAGAAGTCACGTGACAACAAATGAGCAGTGCTATCCACTGGGACAGCTCCTACTGGAATTGGCCACAGGCACCCCGCCTGGCACATACCCACAGAGCCCCTCCCTGAATGCGGGCCGGTTCCACATCCTCCACCTTGTCTGCACAGCTGGGGCACAGTGCGCCAGTCTACCAGGGAATGTGGTTTTTGTTGTTGTTGTTAAGTGTCATCGACTTGGTTCCGACCCATAGAGACCCTGTATAAGGTTTCCAAAGTGCAGCTGGTGAGCTTGAACCGCCAACCTTGTGATTCAAACTGACTTTGCAGTCCAGCGCATTAACCCACAGCACCACACCAGGACTTCAGGGAATGTGGGAACCTTCCCAAAACCCAAGTTCTCAGGGGCTAGGAAGACCTCCCTTAACACAAGGCCTTTCCCAGGATAGCTGCCTGCATGCAAGGCTACCATCTCCAAGGGATAATAGGACCTGCAAGGTGAAGATCATGTTGGGGCACATAAAGGACAGCAGAGCCCAAAATGAAGGATTTCCAGACCCCAGACTGCCTGGTGAAGGAGGGAGATCCCCATGGGAGGAGACAAGCAAACCAGAGGCACGGTGCATGTCTCCCTGGGATACCTGGCTGGGCTCCTGCCCCAAGGAGAGGGCCCATCGGAGCATTTCAGCCCCAGGACTCAAACCTGGGGTCTTCATAGGTCTAGGAAGCTGGCAGATGAGTGTGTTGCAGAGAGGATGGGGAGGCCAGAGTATGCACCCCCACGCACACACGGGAAGCCAGATCCTGGGGCTTCTGAGGAGACACCCTCATTTTTGAAAATCAACAAGCAGGGGTACTTTAGCTGTACCTCAAACCCAAGGGTCAGCAGGCCCTTCCTCTGTCCTCTAAGCCCCTCTCTCCCGCAGGTTCCTCTATGACTTCTACCATTACTTCTATATGCTGACCAATGCGCTCTTCTACGTCAGCTCCACCATCAACCCCATCCTCTACAACCTCGTCTCTGCCAACTTCCGCCAGATCTTCCTGTCCACGCTGGCCTGCGTCTGTCCCCTCTGGTGGCGCAGGAGAAAGAAGCCAGTGCTCTCAAGGAAAACCAACAGCGTGTCTAGCAATCACACCTTCTCCAGCAATGTCACCCGGGAGACGCTTTACTAGGGCCATGGGGGAGGGGGCTGGAGAGGCTTACCCCAGCCACTCAGAGCAGCCCCCAGGAGCCAGGGAAGGTCAACAGAGGCCTGGCTGGCCAGGCAACAAGTCCTCATTGCTTTCAGCTCCCCACTTTTCCCCCGCACACCCCTCCTACACTACTCCCCTTTGAAAGCCCGGAGAGTTGTTTCTCTCCCAGACTGCAAAGGGCCTTGAATGAGGAGGAATTAGTGCTGGGAGTATGAGTTCTTTATTCGTAGACTAATGTAACGAAAGGAGGGGTGAATTGGATGCTGGGGCAACAGCTGCGTTCTCGGGAGGACAGGGTGACCTGGAATCTCACTGCAAGGAACCTGCCCAGCAGGGCCCTGGCGGCTGTTCTGTCTGAGACCAGGAGAGGGCACCATCCAGGGCTATGACTTCCTGACCAGCTGCCTCCAGCCCAGGGCAGCTCAAGCCGCAGGTCCAGTGGGCACCCTGGCATTGGCCCTGATGACCAGGCCTCTCCTTTCTATCACAGCCCCACTCCGCACCTACGGTGACAAGTTCCAACATGGTCTCCCTCAGACTTGGCCAGGTGAGGGGGTTCTATCCTAGGTCTACCCAGGAACGGAGCTCAGAGCTCTCCAGACACCAGGCCTGCTCCCTCTAGCTCCCTCAGGTCAGGGTGGGGAGAGACTCCCTCAGCTCTGAGTTAAGGCCCAGCCTGTGGGTGCCCCTACCAAGATGCCTCCCAGCTGCAGGAGAGGAGGAGGGGCTGGTGTCCAGGTCCCCAACTGACTGGCAGCTCTAGCAGAGCCCCAGAAGTGTGGGCATCTACACACTCTCCAGGGGCAGGTTGTACCCAGGACCGGAGGCCGGCCCCCCAGCCAAGAAGGCAGGTCCTAGAACAGCTAGCATGTCAGCAGAACCCAGAAAACACACTTGGCCTTTTGTGGACAACTTGCACATAGCCTGTGGTGCTGTTTGCCCAGAATGGACACGGGGGTCTAGAGGTACACCCCTCCTGCTGACGGCTCAGACCAGGTAGGATCCAGAGACGGGGCCTCAAGTCCAGGCTCTGCAGCCAGCCATGCCTCTGAAGACCCGTTTCCCAGTCTGTGAAAGTGGAGATGCTTTACACTGTCAGTTTGTGTGATTCGGGGACCCAACACCATCCATCTGTTGTCTGCAAACCTCAATCCACAAAAACAACCCTGTGGGAGATGACCCACAGCCAAAATCCCTGCCACGCATGGGGTGCCCTGTGCAGGTTCCCACGCTGAGCAGCCTCACACAGCCTCTGCACACCAAACCCCAAACTGGCCCATAGGAGGGTCTTCCTCCACTCAGAGCTCGCCATACAGCGTCTCTTCTGGGTAGGAGGCTTCCCCCATCCCGTGGGTCTAGGGCTAGCACAAGTCCCAATACCAATCCAGGAGTGGGCATCAGAGCTAAACAAGAAACAATGGCCCCTCATCTGGGTACTGGGCTTCAGGACTCGGCCAGTCAGTCGGTCTCCAAGTCCTCTCAGTGACTCCTGGATCTCCGTTTCCTCATGTAGTCATTCTGCCCTGGTGGACTCTCCTAGAGGACATGGCACAGGAGACCCCCATGGGGTAGGAGCAGGTCAGAGGGAGATGGGGAGATGCAGAGTTGCTGGAGGTTCTGCCACGATAGAAGGAGCTCTTCTTTGTCTGACCCCCCTTAATGTAGGGGAGGACACGCACCTATGCCCATGCGCTTCGAGCACACCTCCTGTCCTGTCTTAGTTACCTAGCACTGCTCTACATAAAATGCCACAAGCAGGTGGCTGAGACAAGGAGTTGATTTCTCACCTCTGGAGGCTGGAGGCTGACTCGGTGCACTCAGCGGCCCTGGGTTGTGGGGGGAGCATCTCCTTGTCTGTAGCCCCTCCATCCTTTGTCTTTTATCTTCACACAGTGTCTGTCTTCCCACTCAGAAGGGATCAGGTTCAGGACCCATCCTCCTCTGGAATGACCTCATTCACATAACAGATAAGAGAGACCCTGTTTCCATCCAGGGTCCTGGTGTCAGGCGCAGGGTCAGGAAATCCACATACCTTCCTTAGGGACACCAGCCAACCGGTCACATACAGACTGCCATGTCAGTTCTGGTCTAAGTCATGTGGTGCCTCTAGAGTCCAGTGTCATGTCAAAGGTCCAGAGCCCATGTGACCACTCCCTGGTGATGTTGTCTCAAATGGCTGCTTACAACGCCACCCACGGCGCACCCGCAATCCCCTGTATTTACCAATAAAGGTTCTGTGGGCTCTGTGACTTGGACTCTTGCATTGAGGTGAGTACATCCCTTCATGGAATCATTCATTCATTCCTTCATTCATTCAGTAGAACCTGATGCAGCAGCCGGCTCTCTGTGAGCCTGGTACCGAAAATGTGTGGACTTGGGTTTTAGTGGATCTTCTTAAGATCTCGGTCTTGGGTAAAAACAAGAAGTGTTGCCCCCCCACACACACACACACCTGACTTAGGGACTCTGCGGAGCTGAGCTCAGTCCCCTGCAGAGCCTCACAGATGGACCAAACGGTGCCAGACAAATGTAGTCAGAGCTTTCGTCCACCCTCTCCCTCTCCGAGAAGCCAGAGCCTGAGGTTGATGTGAAAACACCTATTCAAACAATTAGAGAACTTTAGTGTACCACAAGCCGTGTCAGCAGTGTGGGCTCAGCCACTCCGTCCTGGGCAAGCAAGCCTACACTCCTGGGAGCCTAGAGTCGAGGCAAGCAGTTTCTGGATCCCCACCTGATGGCTCGAGCTTCTTGCTCCTCATCTGTAAAATGGGACCATTGGCAAACACCATCTTCTGGGATGGTGTGCGTGCTGAGCAAGGTGAAGAGCACATGCATAGATCAGGAACTGGACAGTGGAGTCCTGCTGTGGCTTAATGCGCTGGACTGTGGTTCAAACCCACCAGCTGCTCCCTGGAACCCCTAAACAGGGTCACTATGGGTCACAACCGACTTGACAACACTTAACAACAACCATGTAATTTGCCCATATTGTTAATCCCAGCCCCGGGCACCTGGTCCGCATCATTGTCACTCAGCTAACCTTCCCCGAGTGCTGTCTCTTTCTGTGATGGACTGAGATTTCATATCAGGGCTTCGTGCCTCTGGGTCTTCATGTGGACATGAATGCCCCCCAGACACACACCCAGAAAGTCAAGCCCTTCCCATCTCCACACATCTTCTGAGCTGGGAGGGGGGAGGTGTTCAGCACAGAGACAGGGAGGCCACCAGCTTGGAGACTTGCGGCACCATGCCGTTGCTAGGCAACAGAGGAGGTACAGGGAGAGAATTCTATACATTCTTAAATATGTCTTACGGAAAGAAAAAAAAAAACAGCCTGTCAACTGTGTGGAGTCTGGGCTTCCTGCACAGGAAAGAAAGCCCTCCTCCTTCTGCCCTACTGCCTCCTCCCACTTGCTGCAATTATGATTTGATGCCAGCTTTGATCAGAATACCATGGAAACCATGTCCAGGCTGAATTTATGAAAGAACAAGAGAGAGAAAAGAGGGCAAGGAGAAGAGAAGGGTAGGAGCCCAGGATCAATCGCAAGTACAAGGAAGAAGGACGGGCCAGTGCCTGGCTCTTGCCCAGGACAACTGGGAGGGAAATTGTGTTAGAGGGCCACTCTTACACACACACACACACATACACTACACAAGTGCACATACAGATACAAGTATACATGCTACACACATGCACACACAGGTACACATGCACACATCCCTACGTGCACATACACAATGCACTAATATACACACAGGTGCACATGCACACACCCCCACATGCACACACACAATGCACTCGTATACACACATACACACACACACAGGTGCACGTGCACATACCCCTACATGCACACACACAATGCATTCGTATACACACATACACACACACAGGTGCACATGCACACACCCCCACATGCACACACACAATGCACTCATATACACACATGCACGTGCACACAGCCTGTTCATGGTTCTGCCTACAAGGTGGTTGCAGGAACCACCAGAGCCCAGCACCTGGCCCGCTGCTCCCTCCTTGTCTCCCACTTCTTGGTTCCCAGAAGAGAGAAATACAAGACCTCGTCCTGCTCTGGGAATCGGGGAATCGCTGGGAAACTGCAGCCATGTCCAGAGCCAGGCAATCCCTCAGGGTCTGAAGCAAACTGCCACCCACCAGAACACACTTTCAGATTGAGGACAGCAGGTGGTCCATGTCCAGTTCTCTCTGCCCCACCCCCAGCACCCTCAGACCTTCCTCTGGACAAAGTGGTCAGCAAGAGAGTTGCTGCAGCACAGAGGACCTTAGCCACTGTGGACGCCAAGTTCCCTGGGGACAGAGGCCTGCCTAAAGCCTACTGGGGTGAAAGCTGGGCTGGAGACACTTCCTGTAGTCACCCACTCAGGCCTCTGACACTTACCCTGCCCTAAGGAGCACCCACCTCCACTGCGACCTTGCTCGGACACCTTAGCACAATGCCTGGACCACAGAATCCCCCTTCTCCATCAGCATGCCTCTACCCCGATGGCTGCACTAAAGGGCCACAGCCAAGGCTTACACTCAAGGTGTCTGCACCTGGACTCTGCCTGGACTGGGCAGCAGGGATGCCTCTAGGACAGAAGGACAAAAGTTGTGTTGTAAATCCCAGGTCCTTGCCCCTCAGAATGTCACTAAGACTCAGCGGACTCCACAGGACTAAACACTGCATTGGTTAGAACCCCTTCACCAGCTCTCCTCCCTACTCTGCCTTCCCCCAACTCCATCCCTGTGAAGTCACACCCTGAATAAATAAATGGCTTACACACAAAGCCTGGCCTCAGCTCTGCTTCTGGATAAAAATCAGACTACAGGTATGGGTGGGCATGTACAAAGGTGCACTCCCAAAGTACACTACCTGTTCTCCATGGGGTCTGACACATAGTAGGTCCTCAGTAAATACGAGTGGATGAATGAATGGATTGAAGATAGGTGGGTGGATAGATGGGTGGGTGGATGAGTGGATCAATAGTAGATGGGTGGCTAGGTGGATGGATGAATGGGTAGGTGGATGAATGGACATATGGATGGATGAGTGGATAGATGAGTGGGTGGATGGATGAATAGATAAATTAGTAGGTGGGTGGGTGGATGGATGAGCAGGTGAATGGATGGGTGGATGGATGGATGAGTAGGTATATGGATGGATGAATGAGTGAATGGATGGATGAGTAGGTGGGTGAATGGAGAGATGAGTGAATGGATGGATGATGAGGTAGATGAATGGATGGATGAGTAGGTGGATGAATGAGTGAATGGATAGATGAGCAGGTGGGTGGATGGATGAGTGAGTGGGTAGATGGAAAAGGAGAGGAGAAGAAGGAAATGATACCAAAGCTGGGACCTACATAGAAACCTCATACTACTTGCCCTCACATACCCCGTCTCTGATGGGCTCCTCCCAGGTGCTCTGGCAGAAGGGTGATTTTTTGCATTCTGGTCACTGCCTGGCATATTCCAAACAGGGATGTTGATGTGGGTTGACAGCACCAATGGGATTTGGAAACAGGAGTCTGGATTATGTGTGTAGCTTTTTGCTCCAATGGAGAACCACTGCACCAACCCATCCTGGTTCCACTTGGAATGACTCCCAGACCTTAACCTTCCAGCATGCCAGCACAACACAGCAGGACCTTCTGACTCAAGGCCACTGGTCCTAGGGTGCCTTCTCTGCCCCCACCGCATCCTCCAGCCCTTCGTTGGTTACGGCACCTGTTAGCCATCCAGCTGGAGCTATATTCAAATTCGACCATAAGCCACATCCCAAGATTTCAAGGCTAAAGGGGGTTTCCAGGGAGCAAAAGGCTAGAGATCCCTCAGGGAATGGGTGCCCAGGGATTACAGATTGAACTATGCCCCCACCCTATATACGTTGGAATCCTGACCCCTATATTCCTTTGCCCTGGGATGTTACTAAGACCATACCAATGTAGGGTGGGTCCTGAATCTAATCACTTCTGAGTTATAAAGAAAGTAGATTGGGGTTATGTCTCCAGCCCTGTCCCAGTGGCCTCAGGCCAGGACGTGGGTCTGCCGTGGTTTGCTGGACCTGTGAGCAGCTATTGTGTTGATTTTCACCCCGATCAACTAGATCCACCTGGCCAATGTGGCCATGGTGAGGATGAAGTACTTTGAAATCACCTACTATGGAAACAAGGCTGTGGTGATTGTTGTTAAGTGCCTTTGGTCAGTTCTAAACCATAGCAATCCTGTACAGGGTTTCAGAGGAATGACTGGTGGGTTTGAACCACTGACTTTGTGGTTAGCAGTCCTGTGCTTATCCTACAGCACCACACTGGCATGGAGAAAGACCTATAGACTGACTTAGTGTTTGCAAATGTGTCTAAAGTTCAGGTGGCAAAGAAGGGAGATCTTGTCAGTATGCTGGAACAGATGACCAGACCGAGATCTGTAAGCAGATTTGGACTAAAGGAAAGATTCAAGTATCTGACAAGAAAAGGCACACACAGCTGAAGCAGATGTTTCTGAACATCGCAACTCTTGTAGCTGACAAATGTGTGAACCCTGACACCAAAAGTCCATACCCTGTGGTCTTTATCTAGAGAGTCATAAAGACAACCACTATTCAGGCAAACCAAAAAGAGCAAACAGCAGCGGGCTCTGGACATGACCATGCAGTTAAAAGAGAACATGAGACCAGCCTGGAACAGTTAGAGCCACAGAAGATACATCTTCAAAGAAAGATCAGCAGGAAAAATCCAAAACAAAAATGTCAGTATGACTGGCTACTACAAGAATAAGCAAGCTGTTCGCCGGGAAGCCATCAAGGCAAGCAGTAAAGTCCCTTCAGAACAAACTCCCCTTTAAGACTGAAACTCAAAGGGAACACATGAGCAGACACATAAGCTTGCTGGCAAACACGTTGGTCTACTGGTGAGTGAAAGAGAGGGAAAGACAGCAATGAAGAAATGGGCTGAGTTCAACCACATTCCATAGGCTCCAGTTGACCTGGAGTTCAGAGAGAGAAGAAGAAGGGCTGGTTGGTCCAACGTGTGGTGAGACCTGGGGACACCTGAGCCCATGAACAAAGACATAGCCACAGAGGGCTAAAGCTGAGAGTGAAGCATCCAGCAGATATGAAATGAGGTGAGATGCACAAGAACACCCAAACTTGCAGACAGTACCCATTTGACCTAGCCTTGATGGCTTGATGATCACAACTCGACTAGAGGAATCGTTTTAAAAAAAAACAATTTTTGATAAAGGAAACAAGGGTAAATTGCTACAATTTGATGAACTTGACCTATACTCATGGAGGTAGTAACTGTAAATACCAACAAAGAGGGAAAGAATCTTCACATCAAGTATCAATGCTATCCCCTCTGTACACAGGGTAGACAGGGATGGGCAACTTAGGCACTGGCTACCTAAAATGAGGGGGTGAAAAAGACTCGAAGTGACTGCCTTACAAGGTTTCAAGAGGGAATGTAGTTTAAGAGTGTGCGGGGAGAAAATAGAGTCCCCACTGAATAGTTTTCATCTTGTCTAGATGGGTCTGGTAAAAGGAGATGGGGTAAGATTCTTATGATTCAATAGTGAGTAATTGTTATCATGACTAATTGTGACTGTCACCGTTGTAAAGGTAGATGTTTTTTAACAAAACCGGGGGAGTAGTTAATCTTACAATCTAAGATCAAAGGACCCTAAGACCATCAAGGGAGATGAGCACAAGAGGAACGCAAGACTTTATCCAGAGAAGCAGCTACACCAGAGATGGAGATGCACAGACAGCGAGAGGCCAATAAACAGATACAATAAAAAAGAATGTCCAACGGGGGAAGAATTGCATGGAGGTGATTGTAACCATGGCAATGAGACAATATACGATAGAATGGATGTAAAACTAATGTTCTCCTATGTAAACTATCACAGAATTCACAATAAAACATTTAAGAAAAAAAAAAAAAAGAATGTCCACACTTCTATCTATGAGGTTCTGTCAGGTGTCCATGGCTGCTCTGATCCTTCCCCTGCTTGATCTCTCCCAAGATGGCAGCTCTGGGAGAAACTGAGTGTCTTGAATTAGAAAGCAATGGAGTTCTTGATTATGCTACCAATTCCCCTAGCTGTAAGCCTTTCAACCTTCTAAATGTTCCTTTATATGTGGTTCAGAGTTCTGGCACCATCCCCTGAGCCTGTTTGGTCCAGTATTCTGTGTTGTTGCTGACGGAGCTCTTTACTGCACTTCCACCCGATCCGCCATCTTGTTTGTTCTTCCTCTTGAACACTCTAAAGAGTGTTTATTGGCCTCTTGCTGTCTGCACACCTCCATTTAAGTGACTAAAGGGGATACCTGAGCAAGTGGACACCTCACCCCCACCCCAGAGGGTTCTACTATGCATGCACACAGATCTTCTCGATATTTAAAGAGACAGTTTCCACTTAAAACCAAACGGCAGCACAAAATGGCCACAGCTAGCCCTGAACTGTTTATCACTAGGAAAAAGGCCTGAATGGGGGTTGTGGAGCAGGACAGGCAGACTAAAAAGGAAATAGGCTGAATATTAAATCCTGAGTTATGTCATAACGACCAACATTGGCATCTTGAAATTTCTCAGGAAGAGTGAAAAGAGAAGCCCATTTCCTGATCACATCTACCTGGAGGCAACCAGAAAGCATAAAAAAATACCAAAATACACACCCGTCTAAGTATTAAGGCCACAGATAACCCCTGAAGATGCCCAAAACACAGAAACAGATGACCATATCAGAACACGTCCAGAAACGAGATAAAGTGACTGCTGCAAATGAGCTGGAAGTAGACCTACACTCCATACTGGAAGATGGGCAGGCTTTGGAAATGCCTGAGAAGGAATTCAGAAAAATTATTATAAAATGTATCAAAACACTATACAATGGAGTTGAGAAAAATAAGGAAGAAGTCAGCAAAGCACTTCAGGAACAATCAAATAAAATAGATAAAGCATTGGAAACAATTCAAAACCTACAGAAAGAGGTCCAAACGATTAATAGAATGTCAGAAATGGACAATACACTGAAAGGGCAGAGGAGTAGAATTGAAGCGTTAGAAGCCAGAACCAGTGAGCTAGAAGATAAATCTCTCAACACTACTAAGATAGATGAGCAAGCAGAAAAAAGGATTTAAAAAATCTGAAGACCTAAGATTTATGTTGGATGATATGAAGAGGAATAACTTAAGAATTATCAGCATTCCAGAACAGGAAGAATCACACAAGTCCACAGACGAGATAGTTGAAAAGTTTCTGGAAGAAAATTTTCCTAACATCCTGAAAAACAAAAAGATAAGCATACAAGAAGCTCAACGAACCCCAAGAAGGATAGAC